CCGAACTGCCCTACTGCTCCCCAGCTGCCATGTCAACCTGTTTCCCGGGTTCACCAACTGCATCTCCCTCCCACCGCCCCCTCCCCCCAAGCCATGGGCCCAGACGCCCCCAAGTACGCATGGGTGATGTATGTCGACAACCACACACTATTTGACGGCGCCCTCGTGCTCTGCCAGTCGCTCGTAACCTCGGGCACACGGCACGACATGATCATCATGCACCCGGCCGACGTCGCTTTCGCGGTGCCCAAGGCGCTGGCGGCCGCGCGGGTGACTCTGCGGGTGGTAGAGCGGCTGGACCGTGGCGGCGCGAAGCACCTGGTCAAGCGGTACGCGGCCACCATCAACAAGGTGCGGTCGTGCGGGGCCGGGCAGGGGCGGAGGGGTTCTTGGGCACGTGGGCACAGCGGCTGTATGGCAGTGAGCTGGTCGGGAGGGGGCGCGGGAGCTGTGTAAAGGGCATGGGGTGCAGCAGGCCGGACGCTCGTATACCCATGTGATCCCAAGGGCAAGGTGGAGCATTTGGGCTGCCGCAGGGTCTTTGCTGCAAAAGAGGTGCTGCGCGAGTCAAATCATACGTCACACTTACATACGCACTAGCTGCATGTATCGCCCATGCACGCGTCCGTGCGCCGAAGCATCCAACATCAGTCAAAACAAGCCTTCCAGGCCCCGTGCGCCGATGGGCGCCGCACATTTGTGTCGCTGCTGCAGTTTCTCGCTTCCCCCCCCCCCTTCCCACCTTGTTCACCTCGGCTTACCCTCCCTGGCCCCCGCTCCACGCTGCCTTGTACCCACACATGCATCAGGTGTACATCTGGACGCTCACCAGCTACGACCGCGTCTGCTGGCTCGACGCCGACATGATCGTTACAAAGAACATTGACGACGTCTTCCACACAGACTTCAGCGGCGGCATGGCCATGGCCGCCGCCCCAGGGTGCACGGTCAGTGCCTCTATCAGGGTGTGGGGCTTGTGTATGTGCGCCATTTGTGCCATGATTGGACAAGCGGTGGCATCCTGGGCTGGGCTGCAAAGATGAAGACGCGCAAGCCAGCAGCCTCGTACTTGTATGCGCAGCCCTACCCTGGTGTCAAGCTGCAATACGAGGATCACGTAGTTTGAAAGCTACTGCGCCCCTGACCTAAACGTGTCGCTCCATCCCCTCCTCTCCCACTGCCCCCGCCTCGCTGTGCCCTATGTGTTGTGGCCCCAGTGCAACATTTTTCGCCGACCTGGCGTGCCCACCTCTCCGCACGGGTGTCCATTCAACTGCCCGGGGCCAGAGCACCCCTACTACGCCAACACAGGCCTGATGATGATCGAGCCGAGCCTCGAGACGTTCGAATTTCTCAGGTCTGAGGTTGACTACGATATGCCGTACCCAGACCAGGACGCCTTCAACATCGTGTTCAAGGGCCGCATCGTGCAGCTGCCGCCCAGGTGCGTCGCAGCTCGTTCGCTGGTGGAGGGGCTGGAAGGAGCCCGGTTGACCATATTTGACGGAAGCAGCATTGCAGGTGTTCTCAAGCGGACTGTGCTGTTCTTCCCTGGAAGCCTTGAGCAAGGCAGCACTCCACCCCGCGCCCTGTCGATTGTGTCTTTATGCCTGTCATCCCCTCCCCCCCTTCCCTCCACCTAACGTGGCCGTCCTCCACAGCAACTCACTCAAATCCACTTTTTCTCACGTGTGTGCAGGTACAACTTTATGAACCAGCTGCCCATCGCGCACCCCAACATGTTGTCATATGATGACATCGCCGTGTACCACTTCTGCTATGGCAAGCCCTGGGACGCGGCAAACCTCAACCCCCTGGGTGTGAACCCTGCCATGTACGAGCTGTGGCGCCGCACGCTCGCCGCCATCCGCGGCGGCGCCTCGGCGGCCTCGCGCGCCGCGACCCCTGCGCCGCGCAAAGCGCCGTCCGCGCTGCTGTCCAAGGTTGCCAAGGAGGAGGAGGCCGATGATCTGTGTGGCGTGAGCGACCAGCTCGAGGAGACTGGGGCCGTCACCAAACTGCAGGTCACCAGCTGCGCCTGAGGGTTTGCCAGGGAGCTTTTAGGCTGCCAACTTTGCTTGGAAGCTCAAGGGACGCTGCCTCGCCTCGCGTGGCAGGTTTGGTGCAAGACATTGCGGCTCTTTGGGAGCGAGACAGGCGCAAACGCATGCACACAAGGCCCAAGATGCGTTCTTGTGCCATCAGATCTGCATTGCAATTCTTTCCTATTCACTTGCTTATACATGCCCATAAGCAGGCAAGGCCCCCCTGTCCCTCACCTTCTCTGCAGCGGCACAACAGCAGGCATGCCCACCATGCGCACACGCTTGGTGGCGGCCGCTGACCTGCTGCTGGCGCATTTACTTCACACATCCTCAACACACGCTCGCACTCCACATTAATAAATGGGCACTTGCATAAAACAATTCGAAGTTTGAACAAGCACACGGGCTTACTTGCGGCGCGGCAAATCAGTGCCGCTAGCACGCACTCTGCATTGCGCCAAGGAGCGTCACGTGGCTGCATGCATTTGACTGGCTTGCAGCGGAGGGGGGCGCCCCTGGCGCCTTTTTTGGCGGCTTATGCCGCGGGGCTGCACAACACCCTGAACCAGGGCCCGGCGGCGATGGCGGGCCTGCGCCAGCAGTTGGGGGGGGGATCTGCGTGCGTGGAACCATCCGGAGCACTGGCCAACCGGGCTGCACGGGCCGTCCAGCGTGGTGGCGCTTACGCTGGGTATGAGGCTTGCTTTGCCGTTGGTAGTGCTGATGAGGTGCCTGAGGCAGGCTTTCTGTCGCACACGCCCTACTCATTTCGCCACACGTCCCGATCCCTGAACCACCAACACACGCGGTTGCTGATGCGCCTGCGCTGCTGCTCTCCCCCCTTTGCAGCGTCACCGACTCTTCATTACAAAAACCCCACCCAAAACCCCCACCCATTGCCCCAACTGCGACGGCCTGAGCGGTGGCGAACGGTTGAACATTCTCTGCTTGACTGCCCTGCATACGCGGACCTGCGGGCCGAGCCGCGCTTCGCGCCCTTGCTTGCAAATCTACCCGCGCCTGCTCGCATGCCCACCTGCGCGCTCAGCGCAGATCAGCACGCAATGGGGGCTTTTGTGCACGCCTGCTTTGAACGGCGCACGGTAGCCACCTGAACCCCAGTCACAAACGTTGGTGCTTCACTGTGTAATCCCATGAGCCTGGCTGGCTCCAGGAGCGGGCGACCGCGGGACGCTGTAAAAATCCTAATCCTACTGTAATTCTAATCCACCAACACAGACCACTGGGCCCGGCCCTGGGGGTACCTGTTGCAGGCAGTCCTCGTTACGATCCTGGTGTTGCGGCGCAGTACTCATTCAGGGCTCAGGGCGGCTGGGCTTAGCAGTTGCGACCGCGCAAGGCCTGTAAACATTACATTACATCACGCTTTTCCAGCAGCGAGGGGAGAAACCCTGGCTCCCTAAAGGGGGTAACGCCCCTAACCGTAAAGGCCAGAGGAGAAAGCGGGTGCGGCCTGCAGACCGGCACAGAAACTAAACACAACGCCAGGAGGGGATGCATACGCACACTCGCGAACAAAACCTGCCGCGCACGGCTCCATCGGCATCCACATCCCCAGTGTGGGGCTCGCAAGAGCATTCGTGGGGTGGTTGCGCGCACCCCAGCTCGTGCAGCAGCCTGCAGCCAGTGCACGCGGCGCGCCAGAGCAGCGCAGGATGCCCAAGCTGTTGCCTCACGCTGAGCAAGAGAGCCAAGTGCAGCAGCAAGAGCAGCAGCAGCAGCAGCAGCAGCAGCAGCAGCAGCAGCAGCAGCAGCAGCAGCAGCAGCACCACCACCACCACCAGCAGCAGCAGCAGCAGCAGCACCACCACCACCACCACCACCACGACCAGCAGCAGCAGCAGCAGCAGCAGGAGCAGAAGCAGCAGTAGCCACGGGGTCGTGTGCAGGCGCGTCAGCGAGGCGGGTCGCCGTCACTGCCGCGACAGCAGCAGCAACAAGATGAGCAGGACGTGGCAGCTCACGTACTGCCGAGGGCAGCTCTATGCCGGCAGTGGCGCACGCCGGGCGCTGCCTCAACGCTGCAGCGGCGCGTCCGTGGCCGGCCGCGGCAGCAAGCCTGCCTGGCAGCTGCATTGCCCTTCTCACTAGCAGGCACGGTGACGACGGACAGGGACATTGCTAGGGGGGTGACGGCGGCTGTGGCACAGCAGCAAAAGCGGTTCCACATGACGTTCACGCAAGGAATGCCAGCGCTCTTTCAGGGACATGTGGGCCTGCGCCTTCTGCGGCGCCGTCAAGCCAGGAGGCATCGGCGCAGCCCCGGTGTGGAGGATTAGGATGAGGATTAGAATGTTACAAGATCCCACGGTCGCCCGCTCCTCGAGCCATCCAGGCTCACGGGATGTAGTGTTGTAGCATCAGCGTCGTGTGATTGGGACTCAAGTGGCCAGCATATGCCGCTCAAAGCAGGTGTGCACAAAGGCCCCACGTGTTTCGTTGCAAGTCTACGCTGCACTCACGGGTGTGCATGTGGGCATGTGCAGGCAGGTTCACAAACAAGGGTGCAAAGCGCGGCGCAGCTTGTTTGAGCTTGGCGGCTGTCCGCCCTTGGCGCCAACGCCCATGCCTCGAGCTTGGGCGCCGGCGCGCCGTCGGGCGGCGCGCAGTCCTAGGAGAGGAGGCACCGTCGCGGCCGGGCAGTGAGGTGGGGCCGCTTGCCGTGTTGGCGCGCCGCCCGCTCGCGCCACACACTCATGGGGCCCCCACGTTTGGTGGCGTCCCTGCGGGATAGCCTGTGCGCACACTTCGTGGCGTACATGCGCCTGTAATATTGAGCGCCTTACACGATGCCATTGCCTCGGTCTAATTGGTCCCCACCCATGCCGTTGGCCAGGAGGACCTGTGCTGCCGTCACACCTGGGGGAGCACTTTGCATCGCGCCTGGCCGCGGCCCCGGGCCAATGCCATCGCCCCTGGGCCCCCAGCGGTGCGTAACAATGCGGCGGCCGGCGCGCAGGCCGTGGAGGCGCTGCTGGCGCCGCTCGCTGGCGGCTTGCACGTCACCCAAGTTGACCCTGTCCGGCAGATTGCACAGGCGGCTGCCTCCCTGCCCTCAGGGGCGGGCGGCCCCCAAGCCCTCCCAGGCCGCGGTGCGCCTCGCCAGCCTCACCGGGGGGGCCAGGATTAGGATGAGGATTGTTACAAGATCCCGCGGGCGCCCGCTCCTGGAGCCTTCTAGGCTCATGGGATATATACCTTGGTTGCATCAGCATTGAATGACAGGGAGTCAAGTGGCTAGTTCGCTGTTCGAAGCAGGCGTGCACAAAAGCCCCAAGTGTGTGTTAGTTCGCACTGCGCACAAGGGCGCGCATGCGGCATGGGCAGGCAGGTCCGCAAACAAGGGTGCGAAGCACGGCGCGGCCTGCAGGTCAGAGGACGCAGGGCAGTCGAGCAGGGCGTATTCACCCGTTTCATGCAGGTCCAGGCCGTCGCAGTGGGGGCAAAGGGTGGGGGTGTTGTAATGCAGTGTTGGTGACACCGCAAAAGGGCGAGAGCAGCAGCGCCAAGGAAAACCACAGGTGATCATGATCATGGCGGCGTGAGCGGCAACGCTATCATAGTTCAATTGTTGGCGGCATTGACCAGCACGCTCTCGGCGGATTGCAACTCTGCCGGGTGTTGTTCACGCGTAAATTTCGTACCAGTACCTCAAACATCGTGGAGCCCGCAACCCCGGTGTGACCAAGCAACCAACGCTTCCCCCGCTGCTGTGCTGTCGGAGAACTGACACGAACCTGGTATCAGTGACTGCTGACTCAACCAGGCCTGCAATCAATCACTTTTCTGTAATCAAGCCGATTCGGCCAACTGACCACCCCTGTGCGGCCACCGCAAGACGAACTCACCAGATTCGCCATGGACGCGCGGCTGACGGCGTACCGCGCACCTCTGCGGCACTCTCAATTAAGTTTGCAAATTTGCAGCCTGCAGTGGCCACTACGCGTGCCTCGGCGGCGGGCAGCGGTGGCGCAAATGGCGCACGGGCGCAATGGTGCGCTGCAGGCACAGCAGGCGGGGCGTGGGGCAGTTGTGGATGCAGTGCAGGAGGAGGATAGTCCCTATGTCCAGCTTCTGCAGGTGCGACATTTACGTGCGCAGGGCAAAAACCAGGGGCAAGCAGTAGTGCTGCAGTGCAGCTGCATGGCCTTCGGATGGTGGGACGGGCGCTGCACTGGCCGAGCCGCGGCCGCCCGAGACCTCGTGGCCGCGCGTGACCCAGCCGCCCACGCCTGCACCGCTTGCCGCAGCTGGCGGATGAGCTGACGTTCAAGATGCCCGACGGGTGGGTGGCGCGCCGCGGCGGCGGCGCGGCGCGGCGCGGCGCGCGCTGTGCGCACGCAGGAACCTTCCTTCAGCGGCCGCGTGAACTGCGTCTCGCGATCGCACTGTGGCCGCGCGCAGAGCCCCCGCATGCGCGTGCATCTGCGGGTGCCTGGCGGCAGGTTTCAGGGGTGATGGTCGCCTCGACCGCCGGCTCTCTCTTCTGATCCGTACCCCGCTGCTCTCCGTGAAGATGGCCATGTCCAACAGCGACCACGCCCGCATGCTTGTATACGTGGGCATGACGCACAGGCCCCCCTTGGACCACCTGGAAGTATAATAAGACACTGTCTCAGACGCTGCCGGCCGGCCCTCACTTGTCGCAACGCCCTGCAGGGAGGAGGGCCACGCGGCCGAGGCCCGCCTGGCGGCGCTGCGGGAGGGCGAGCGGCAGCTGCAGCGCGCGGTGGCAATGCGGCCGCGGGACATGATGCCGCGCGTGATGCTGCTGCGCAACCTGGTGGGTGGCTAGGCGGGGCGGGCGGCGCCGAGTGCCTGCGTCTCGGCATGAGCAGTGCGCTTTGGTGACGTCGCAACCTGTGGCCGTCAGTTTGCAGAGGTTTTGGTGGCCAAGGCAGCAGGCTCCTGGCTTCGGGCAGCTAAGGCAGCAGGCTGACGACAGCTGCTGCTGCTGCTGCTGCCGAGCCAGCAGCCATGGCAGCCATGGCAGTGCGCGTACCCATCCTCGCCCTGTGCGCACTGAGGCGCCCGCTTGCCCTGGCCGTGCTCAACCCCTGCTTCCCATGCCTGCAAACATGGCGACTTTCCGGGTCTGCTCTACGCCTTTTCAAATGCAAGAACAAACCAAACGCTCACACGTGCAACACACACACACACATACACACGCACACTCTCACACACACATGTGCACACACGTGCACGTGCACCCCCACCACCCTAGATGCTGCAAGACCACGGAAGCGAGGGGCGTGTGCCAGACCTGGCGCTTTCCGCTCTGGCGGAGCTCTCCCCAATCGACGCCGACATCGCTTTCACCCCTCAGTTCGTGCCTGCAATGCAGATAGTGCTGGTGAGGGATCCTATCTGGTTTCCAGGCTGGGGCTTGATTCGTGCTGACATCGGTTTCTTAGTTGCTGTTCATCGCAGTGGTTGTGTCGTTGTGCGGAGGGCATCATGGGTTGATGCAGCGATCGGCCTCGCCTGGACAGCGGGTCAGCAGCACTATGGCAGGCGGCTGCTGCTGCTGCCGCGCGCGAGGTGTCACCCAGGGTGTGTGGTGCCAACAGGCTGGGACGGGCGGCGGTGCAGTGGCGCTAGGGGACGCCATGCATCCTTCGCGCGTCCTCTCACTTCACAGCCGCACTCGTCCCCTCTGTGGCCCCGGCCGGATGTCACGAACCCCTTCCTTTCGCCACGACATCCCCATTGAATGCCTTTCTCTGCGCCCACACCGTTCAACCCAATCGCAGCTCGCCGTCAAGGCCCTGTGGAAGCAAGGCCAAGAGGCCGGCGTCCCGGCCTTCATCTCGGCAGCTTCCGAGCGGCTTCCGTCCATGGCGTCGGACTTCGGCCACCTGGCCGAGCGCGTCGAGGCGCAGCTGACCGGCGGCGCGTGGTGTGAAGGCGGCGCGAGCGCGGACGGCCTGAGGGAGGAGATGCTGGCGAGCCACAGGTGGCTGTCCTGCATCGACCTGCAGGCCGTGGACGGCCGCCACCACAAGAGCAGCCCGGGCCTGCTGAGCATGGATGCGTTCTGAGGGCGCTGGCTGCCCCAACTCTCCTGTACCCCGGCCGCTTGCCTGGGCGGGCCTGCCACATGCGCGCATCCCAGCGGTCACGCGCTTGAAAAGCGGCCTGGCAGCAGCCGGGTTGAGGCATCGAAGGTTTTTGGGGTGAAAGGAGAGGGGAGGGGACGGGACACGCACTGTTTTGCTTGAGGGGGGTTGAAGACCTACGGCATTGAAGGTCGCGCTGGAGCGCTCTGCATGGCGGAATCCTCCTGTTGCCGGTCAACGACTGGTCAATGCGACCACCTCACTGATCATTACCTAGCCCAAACGCACGCCCACTGCGCCAGAGGCACATTTTCGCCCTCATGGGCCGCGCACGGCTGCACACCCACGGCGCCTCTCGCTCCAGATATTGAGTTTGTGTTTTTTCGGCATCTGTGGTTTGCGGGCTGAAGCGCGTGCTGCTTGGCCAGGAGATGTCTTTGGTTTTTTGATGTTTGTTCCATTCATGTTCAGTGCATTCAGACCTGTCTGCTCCGTCGGTGCGCGCCATTTGTCATGCGTAGTGTTTTTGTGCTGATGTCAGGTTGATGGCGGTTTGTGGTACGTGTTAGGCACAAGCACCTGCACGCCTGCCTGCACGTTTTGAGCAATTTCAGGGTTGAATTGCACTTTCACTGTCACATCTGCCCCCACACACGCACACACAAACGCGCGGCCTCGCCCCGCCCCCTCCGACTGCGTATAATCGCAAGGAACGGCCGGCAGGCGCCCACCCAGCATTTGAGTAAGCATCTGTTACAACCGTTGGGCCGCCCGCGCCTGGCTCGCTGCGCGACGCTGCCAAGGATGCCGTGCGTGCTGCGGATGCGTCATGCCTGAGCCACCCAAGAACAGCAAGAAGGCATCCGCTCCAGGCTGTGTTGGGGGTACTGCCGCCGCATGCAAGCGCCATCAAGGTCAGCAGCATGACAATAGCAACAAAGCCGTGCAGCGGCATTCGCAACAAGCCAATGCGGAGCAGCAAACCCCGGCCGACGTCAGGGGGGGGTCAACAAAGCAGCGGACCAGACCGTTTGGCGACCCCTCTGGGGATTGCTGCGGCCGCGTCCTTGGCCGCTACTGCGCCGCCCCCGCCAGCGCGTGCCCCCACTCTGGCGCGGCGGTGTCCAGTGCCAGCGCCTGGTACATCCAGTGCGCCACCAGGTCTGACTCGCCGCGCCGCTGGTGGGCCATGACCATGGTGCGCGCCATCTCAGACCACACCGACACGATCAAGGCGCCCTGCCTGATGCCGTTGCCACCGCCGCCGTCGCCACTGCTGCTTCTATCGGCAGGGCCACTGCTGCTACTGCTGCTGCTGCTGTCTGTGATGTCTGCGCAAGGGTCTGCCAGGTTAGGGAACCGCGCGTGCGCCTGGTCGGCAGAGAGGACCTCCCCGCCCCTGCGGGCCACATCCAGGTAAACTGTGCGGCAATGATGGTGCGGGTGTGGGGGTTGAGAGGGTGAGCAATTACGAAGATGAAGGGCGGCGAGTGCGTGTGCAGAATTTGTGCATGTGTTGTTTGGGGTGAACGTGGGAAAAGGAAGGTGTGTGTTCATAGCATTGAAGCACGGTGCGAGTATGTGCGTGAGCGCGTGCGTGTGTGCGTGTGTGTGTGTGGGGGAGGGAGGGAGGGTGCAATGTCTGCGCATGTTGTGTTGGTGTGTCTGGGAGTGGAAAGGGATGCCTGGAGTGGTTCGTGTAGCGCGTGCCGCGGCTGAACACTTGGCAGGCGGTTGGAAGCTGACAGGGCACCCCGCCAGAGAGGCAGCCGCACCTGCACCAGCACCCCCCGCCGCCGGCGACCCTACCGCCACCAGCCAGGTGTTCGGGGAGGGCGG